ATAAAAATTAAATGGACCAAATTTTTAGTACATAATTTAATGGTTTGACCATAAGCAAATAAATCATAATTAAATTAATGTATTTTAAATTGTATCATGCGAAATTTAAATAATAAATTTAAAAAAAATATAATAGAAAATTGATTTCAAATGAAAGGGAAAAAATTAAAAAGGGTAAAAGGAAAGGAAATAAAAACAAAATTTTAGAAATATTAATAAAAACTTTGTATTTCAAAAAAAAATTAACCATGAGATACAAACAATATTATATATACATACACTTATTTTATAACTAATAATAATTTTATGAAATCATATTTTTTTAACACATGTTTCCTAAAGACAATCTTATTTCCAAATATGGTAGGGCACTAAACATAATTACTAAATCATATCTTTTGCCCATTTACTCACTCTTCTTTTTCATGATTATTTTGATTTTCATTTTCATTTATAAATAGAATGCATGTTTATATAAGTACCCTCTCACTAACACAAGTCACATTTCTTCTCATCCCACTCTACACACACACACACCCACACTCTCTTAAAACGATCTTATATACATTCTGATGCTTACCAATCCGTTCTGCTTTAATTATATCTTCTTGTAATTTTAGTAGAATTTACTTGAATAATTTATTGAGATCACTATCCCAGTGGAAATAATTATGTTTTTTTTCCTTGCAAAACTGAAGAGCATGTTGTTAGATCTTTCCAATATGTTTGATTTTGGTTTAATAAATTATTTGAAAATATGCAAAGAACATTATATTGTTGTGCACTAATGTCCTTTTGACAACCCCAGAAAACAAAAATCTTAGTGGAACATCTGTGGGTGAGATTTATTTCCACGTATGGAGATGCCCTAATGCTATGCTTTTTATGCTTATAATCACATTTGAGTTTGATGCAAGGAAAAACATTTTCTACTTGGAAAAACAGCTGGATATTACTAGTTTAAATTTTAATTTTTATATCACTCACTTTGTTGCATAATTTATCCATACACCAGCCATCAAAATACTAGATTGAATTGAGTGGGACACGCTTTATGTCCCTGGGATGTGGAATTTTCAGATTATTTACAATATAAGTATTCATAATACACCTATTGTTCTTGCCAACCCCCACTTCCACCTCCAGCTAGTCCACCTTCATTCTACAACTAATACTCTCCTTCAGCAATGTGGGATTCTATTCCTCCACTTTAAGGTTTTTTTTTTTTTTAGCACTACCAATGTAAGAGATGGCCTATTTGTTTCCCCTATGATTTAGATGAAGATCTTTCAAAGTCAAATGGGGATATTAACATGGCCCAATCACCTACTAGCTCCCACCTATTGGTTCCTAGATTATCTCAGAATATTATTAATATATAACTCAGAATAAGAGGACATTCACTACTTAGGTCCATTGCTTAGCTTTATATTTTAAAAGTCATATAATGCTAAGCACTAGTAGGTTGTTGGTCCAAGTCAATATCCCCATTTGGCTTCAAAAGATCTTCATTTGAATCAATCTAAATCACAAGAATCAATCTAAATCACAAGGGAAAACATAGGGGCCATTTCTTGCACTGGTGGTGCTAAGAAATCTGAAAGTGGATAAATAACATATTGCATTACTGATGGAGAATAGAAGTTGTAGAATGGGAGATGGGCTGGCTGGAGAGTGGAGGTGAGTTTCTAAGAACATTAGCAATATTATGAATATTCCCATCCTAGGGATATAAGGAGTGTCTTGCTCAATTTGAAATTTTGGTGAATGGTACATGGAGATAAAGCATCAGAGTGAGTGATATGCAAAATTAAAAGTAAAATTAATAATGTTTTTCTAGGTAGGAAATGTTTTTTCCTACATCAAAATCATATGTGATTATGAATTTGAAAATTATAAGCATCCAAAACATAGCATGCACTAAGCATAATTAGGGTATTTCCTCAATGTGAAATCATGTAAATAAATCTCATCCTATAGAAATTTCACTAAATGGTTTTTTTTTTGTAGTTGACTTAAGAATGCTAGCACACAACAATATATTTTTCTTTGCATATTCTCATACAATTTATTATCAAACCAAAACGAAACTTTCGAAAGAACTAACAACATGTTTCATTTTTGCAAGGAAAATTATGTAACACAATTATCATATTATTACTTATAAAATATTCAAGTAAATTCTATAAAAAAATACAACATGATATAATTAAGAAGGCAAGCCAGAATGATACATTTTTATATGTATATAGTGAGATGAAAAGACATGCGATTTGTGTTAGTGACAAGGTATATCACTCAATAAGAGAAACTCTTACCTATAATGCTTTTCTACGATTTCACTCTGAATATTTTCAATTGTGTTTGGTTTCAGGTGTGCCCTGGTTTGAAAACTAGGGGTATTTATAGTGAATAATTAAATACTAAGTTCAAGGTATTTCATTGAATGATCCTATTTGCCAATCCTATCCAATCATTTCTTTTTCTCCAAGATATCGTAGCATAGATATCCTTAATATTAATTATTTGTTTTATCCTAAAAAGATATACATAAATTTATTGTTCTTAGTCTTTTCAACTTCCGATATCCCTAGTCATTTATCCTCTTTGTTGCATAGTTTACACACGCGCGCGCACACACATTTAAATTTAATTTAATTCAAAATATTCTGATTTAAATATTTTCTAGGGTGTAAAATTCTGATTTAAATATTTTCTAAGATATTACACCCATTAAATCCCTAAGTTCGCCATGGGGTCTTATACAATAGAAAATTTAATTCAATATATGCTGTGTCAACTTAATTTTTTTTTTACTTTTCAATTCATTTACTTGTTAATACCTCAAGTCAATCTGGTAGTTAGTTAATATTTACTTGTTAAATTATTAATGAAAACTTATTAACAAGCTAAGATTTATAAGCACAAGTTATCATTATAACCTAATATCTACTTGTCTAAAGCTTAAATAAACTTGTTTACTTAATTAAAATTCACTTATAAATTTACTAATGTTTACTTATCACTTCAATTTCCAAACCGTTTAACTTAAGTCGAGTTGTATTTTTATTTATATTTACTTATCAAATTGCTAATATTTACTTGCATATTGAACGTTATTGACAAGTTCACCTAAGAAAATTGTAAACTAAATTTTACTAGAAATAAATTGAAAAGTAAATATTACTAAAATAACAAGTTCAATTTGTGTCTTTACAAATATACTTTAGGCTACTATTGAAGGAGTACTTGTCAATAAGGTTCATTTTACAAGTAACACTAATAAATTGACGAGCAAATATCAATGTAATGATTAATCTAGTTAAACATTTGACAATTGCATTTTATATCATATAAAGACACATGTTGCATGTTGATCCATGCTAGCAAGTTTTTCTTAAAAAATTAACAAGTAAACATTTATAAAATTAAATTTGACTTACGTTAAATGGTTCAGGAAGTGAAGCAATGGGAAATATTAAATTCACAAGTTAATTTTTAAAAACAAAAACAAGTTTAGTCAAGATTTTGACAAGTAGATACCAGGTTACAATGATACCTTTCACTTATTAAATCTTAGCTTGTCATTAAGTTCTCATCAATAATTTAATAAGTAAACATTAATAAAATAATAAGTTGACTTAAGATACTAATAAGTAAATGACTTGAAAATTTAAAAATTAAGTCAAAAGCATATATCAAATTTTGCATTACATAATTAAAGGTCCATGAGGGCTTGGTTGCTTTTCACTCCTTTGGTGCCCAAGGGTCTTGAATTCAAACCTCCCATTGATCACTTCAAAGATTTAATGGATTGCCAACAAGGCGAGCCATTTGATGGGCTGACCTTTTTTTTTTAATAAAAAAATGCTTGAGGTAGTTATATCTTTTTGTAATAAATTTTTATTTTAATTATATTTAAGTCATTTGATTTTATAAAAAAATTCAAAATTATTTAATTTTTTTTGCAATAAATGGACTTAGATGGTTCTTGGATGCAATTTTTTCTATTTTAAGGGTTTGTTTGGATTTTTATTGGGAATCAATTCTGAGATCAAAATTATAATTTTACAAAAATTTATCTAAACATGCTCAATTTTATAAAATTTTATTTGGCTTGTAAAAATTTATTTTAAAAGAACTATTTTTTTCTCCATTGAGAATCAATTCTTAACATTTGAGCATTTTTCTCTCATCTTTATAATTGATACTAAAAAATTATTTAAACATCTTCAATCATCAAAATCAATTTCAAAAAATTTCATCCAAATATCATCACATTTAATTAATTAATTTTTGAGAGAATTTCAATAAAGAGCTCTTGAACACACACATAAATTTAAAGCCCATAAATTTTTGAAATTACTTTGCAGTTCAAGGATATTAATTTGATATTAAATTTTTGAAAGAAATAAAAAATTAGCTGTCATTTAAATTAATATAAAAATTTTTCTACTTTACTTGTTAATTTACTTATGAAATATTTTTAATTATCCTCCTTAATTTTTTTCATTTTAGATGTTTATATCATCTCAAAACAACTTGTTAATTCCTAAATTACATGTTATTTATTTATTTATATACTATTTTTATTACCCTACTTCACTTTTTTATTGTTAAGCTTTTACTTAATTTTATTTTAGGAAAATAAATAAATAAAATAGGATAATTAACAATATTTTATAAGTAAATAAACAAATAAAGTAAGGTAATTTTAATATTAATTTAAATGAAGGATAATTTTATTATTTTTATTAAAAATAATATCAAATTAATACTTTTAAACTGTAATAAAATTTTAAAAATTTAAAGGTTTTAAATTGAAATAAGTGTAGCTAAGGATCAATTCCCCCTTAATATTTTCTACAGTAGTTTCTTGCAAAATCCAAACACACCCTAAAAAAGGAAGGTTTGAGAGTCGTCCTCGTCAAATTGTAGGGTCCTGGTCTGGTGACGCAGTCCCATCCAAACAACAAGGGTGGATCCCACCACATTGAAAATCGTACGGCCGATATTGTGTTTCCTTTAATGGTCAAACTCAACCCACACCCCGCCCATTTCGCTACCGAAGAAAAAGTCAACAGCGTAAGCCATTCTCCTCCCGCAACGTAGCCCTACGTCTCATGTCTCCCAATCACGTCTTGACACGTTTCGCACGATTCCTTCTCCCTCCCTCCCTGCCGACCTCGCCTCTTTCATGACCCCAAACAAGTCGTACCAAAGCTTGCCCATTTGCACCCGCCCCCCACTCGTACCGTCATCATTCATTACCACACCATCACTTCAAATTTCTACCCAACAAACCACTATGCAAGCATTCTTCTTGTAGGTTAATCCGTTGATATATAGAGACTGAGTCGCTACTTGTAGATGCGAGCGCTTCACAATCTGAGGGAAATCAAATCCTCGTTGATTTCTAAAGGCGAGACTGGCGTGTGCAGAAGAATATATATATATATATATATAGTTTGCCAAAATGAGAGGATCTGATGTTGCAGATCTGAGTGATGAAAAAAGAGAAAGGCATTACGGCCATTTTGGGTTGATTTCTGCAGAAGAAAGGGACAGGAGAGTTAACAGAGATTGACAGAAGAGAGTGAGCACATGCTGCAAGCAATTGTATGAGGCCATACATATGCGGGTGCGTGCTCACTTCTCTTTCTGTCAGTTTCTCTCTTTCGTGTGTGTTTCTCTCTGTGTTCCTTCTTCTTCTTCAGATTGCTTTCCGCATCCCAATCCTTCCTATCCTTATACTCGTCAGCTCTTTCTCGTGAGCTAGCCAGCGAAAGAGTTATACACCTTTACCCGAATCAGAGAGCTCTCGATCTCGGCAATGAAAACCCTTTGAAACGACGCGTCGATTGCGTTTTTGGCACATCAAAACTTTTTATTTTGTGTTACCTTGTCGTGTCTAAAGCTTATGTGGCGCTTGACCAATCGCAGAAATACAGGTTAAATGAATGAAGGTAAACAAATTAAAGCGTGTAGGGCTGATAACTTCTTTTGGGCACTGTTTTTCACGACGGACATGATGGTAGGGCTTCTCATCCTTATCTCTTCGAATACTTTATTCATTTTCTTTATTATTATTTATTCATATTTATGCGAGTTTTCAATTCATTTTATGTATTATTATATTTGTTCAAAGTTCAAACGGAATGAAGCTTCACAGCGTTGTTTTTAAGGGTGTACTTCCTCCTTCCTTTAGTGGAACATAAAACCCAAATTCACTTCTAAGCGTTACTGTTCATATCATAACGGAAATCCGTATGTTTTGATTTGGTTGGGCTTATTTACTCATCAAACCCTTATTTTGTACCTCTCTTCTCTCTTCGACTTTAATCTGGACCAGAAGTTTTTTAACTTTCCGTTCGCCTAAGACACCGGAGCTTGGAGAGACCGGCGAAGAATCATGGGTATGCTTTTCAATTCCATTTTCTTGGGTCAAATAATGCTGATATTTGAATTGCTTGTATCTTCGTTTTCCTGAAAAGGGATTACTGAAGTAGCGATGGACAGGCAACAGAAAGCAAAAGAAAGCCGTTTTGGTAGGTGCATAATCACATAATTATGGAAGATTTGGCTCTATATTCTTCATGGAAAATATGCATTTATTGGCTTACAGAGGTCAGAAAATTTTCCAATCAGTTGAATCTCAGATTTTTTTCCATTTTCTTCTATTTGTCTGTTTAGGAAATATAGACAGTGAGCCTCTTCAGATTGTTCTTGCAGAAGTTTTTTGAGGTTTGGGGGCGCCGAACTGCTGCGTCCGGGATTATTCTGGTAATTAACCTTTGAATTTGACTTTATTTATGTTATTGCTCCTCTAGTATGTTGATATTTTTAATTGTGTTTACTATAATGATTACCTTATCTAGTGTTGGGATTGTGATCTTGGACAGCTTTGCACCTTCTGTTGTTGTAGAATTTCAAATAGTTAGGACCTGGGGTTATTGTGTTGTTCACTTGAATACGTGTGATGTCCACAATTGAGTTTTTGAATACATGAAATGTTAAATGTAAAGGGTAGGTTTTTAATTAATGACGTTAATTGCTCAATTAGAGTGCTGAATTAATGAATTGTGTTAACGGCTGGCTAAATGTCCTTCTATACGTTGCTATTATAATATTGTATATCTTTCTTATAATCAGGTACTCATGCCTGATTTATACTGATTTGAATGTTGTAATCTTCAAGTATTCTTTCTTTGCTTTCTTCTTCCAGGAGGTTGGCTTTTCCTTCTCGCTTGTAATAATCTTTTTTTTTTTTTAGCAAAGATTTTTTCCCCTCTATTAGGGAAACAACAATGCTAAAAAGTACCGAATTTTTTCTTTCACATTTGTAGGGAGTCCTAACTATATATTGTGTTTTATAAAAATACTGTTACAAAACTGGATGAGCATGTAATTAAATTCTATTCTATTCTGAACATTCATGTATTGAATATCTAATAACACCTTGCTTAATTTTATTTGTTATTTTTAAAACTCTGAAAATCGAGTGCCTTGCTTTTGTTCAAGTTATTAGGAGTTTTATTGTTCGGTTAATTTGTAGATTATAACCAGCACAAATTTAACTATTCATGTATTTGCTAAATGTATATGCAGATGCTTATTGCAGTTAAAAAAAAAAAATAGTGCTTAAGCAACTCTTCTTTAACGGTTCATAAGTTTTGTGATCGTATATTTAGGGTGCAATTCTTTAACTGTATGTATATATGACTGAGTGTTTAGATAATAATTACTATGAAAGAACCAGACAATACATTTTATTCATACATCACTTTGAAAACCTGAGTTTTTTAAGTTAATTATCACATATTAAATAAAAAATATTGCCAGTTAGGGTTGCCAGGAATGTGAGAACAACCTGAACTATGTACAATAACACTTCGATATGTTTTCTGAGTGCTCCAAAAAGTGTCCAAAGAGTCTAAAATAGTAGGATATGAAGAATGGTATTTTTGGTTATTGGGATACTTTGTTTTACTCTGATGTCTAGCTATTTCCAATCTATGTTGTTTCATTTGAAATGATTTACCTGGAAATTAGACCAAAGGTGACTTTACTAATTATGCCTCGTCCTACCAATGTGTATATATACTATAGTTCTATATCCTACAGGTCTCTATTATGCAAGTAATGAGATATTGAATTGTAAGAACTTGATGATATATAGAATAAATACACGCAGTATGGGCTAAGAAACTGTAGATCGTCAGTGTTGTGGAGCTGTTTCTGAGTTGTATTTTCATATATCAATTATAACTGAAAAATTTGTTGATGTGAATGTATATCTAAACCTTTCAAAATCCTCTTTGGTCAGTCTATTACTTCAATTGACAAAGTTTAATGATCACCATAGGCTTAATTATAATGGTTAACTAGAGCAAGATATCTTTATAGTCTACTCTTATTCAGGCCTCGATTTAATGAAGACTCCCCTTTTTTTACACATATAAGCACACATATGTGTATGTGTGCATGAGAAAGAGAGAGGTGATAAAGTGACATGCATATAGTATTGAAGTTCCTTGCCATGCATCTATAAAATACAAGCATGAGGCAAGGAAAGTGACTGATAGATAGAGCTGCTTCAGCATGGTTTCTGAATACCCTCATAAATGCTAAAATATAGTCAATTACTTTCAAGATTTTTGTTGAAATATCTTTGAAAGATTATTGGTACTGTCAAATTATCTAATTCAGAAAATCTTTATGGAATAAGAGGAGAAAAATGATAGGCCTTTTTTTAATCTACAGTTTGTGGAACAATGGAAACTGTTTTGTTGAACACCTATGGTTACTGCATATCAAGCAGTGACATTGACAAATGTAAAATCAAGATGCAAACTAGAATGATTTCTAGCATGATGCAGATTGGATTGTGTAAATATGTTGTTATAAAGTATAACTTCTGTTCCTGCTTCTCATATAGTCTCCTCATTGACCAGGGTAAGTGACTGGGGTGTGTTTATCATTCTTAATCTGCAAGGATTTCCACACTCTTTGTTCCTACATTTTCTTTGTCAATTATGAATTCCCCTCATATAAAACATGTCTAATTTTTTTATTCTACCATATTTGTTTTTCACTGCTTGACATTCCATATTTCCTTTTTCTCTGATTAATTTTTATTTCTTGTTAGCTTGCTAAGCTATAAAAGGTTACTTTGTGGGTGTTTGGAAAAATTAAAATTTGAACATATCATTGAGAAGTGCATCAATTAAATTTGAAAGGTATATATTTCAAGGGAAATTTTTTGACATGTATAATCTTATATTCTATCAATTATATTAGACCTATAAATTTTGTGAATAGCTTGCTCACCATTAGATTTCTATGGAATTGAAATCAAATTTGACCGTTAATCATTTGAAGCATGGCTATCAATAGCAAATAGTGTACAATTTTAAGAGTAAGAAAAATAAAATGGGCAACATGACTGCATGAAAAGCATTCATATATCATAATATCAAATTCCTGGCTGTAAAATTAATGTAATTTAGGTAGTGTTTGGATTAATGAATTTGGATTTGAATTTTAAATTTGAAATTTCACATTTCAAATTCATGTATTTAACATTCTTTGTTTAGGTAGTTTAAAAAATTTTAAATGAAACAGAGATGAGTTGAGATTTGAAAAAAAATAAAAAATTAGGAATAATGGGTTTATCTCTATTTTTTTAATTGACAAGAAATGAGAAAAGATACGAGAGTTATAGCGAAACAATAGTGAACATGTGAATATAATGTGATGTTTGAAGGTGACTAGAATTTCACATGATCAAGGTGTAGAGAGAATTTGAAATTATAAAAGAATTGTAATAAAAAATGAATTTGGATTTGAATCAAATTCAAATTATAAATTTTTGTGTATTCAAATGAGAGATTTGGTTTAAATTTAAATTCAAATTCAAATTCCCATCAATCCAAACCTACCATTAAGGAATTTGAATTTGAATTTACAAACACCAATTTGCCCAGCTGAAACAAATAGGAACACCAAACAAGCAAGCACAATGTCAAACAAGAGAGAAAGAAGAATTCTAATAAAGCTAGCCATTAGAAGCCTCCAGAACATCATAGAGCACAATAGAAGTGAATTAACCATTCACATTCATAAAATAATAGTCAACCACAAAATGAGTTCTCCTCCAAAAGAACAAGAGTTGACACATGAAACTAACACAAACTTCTACCTTTGCTAATTCATTAGGACTTTCTATGTGTTCTATAAAAGGGATGCTACATATACTCACCCACAAGGCACACATACAAACCCAACATATCCTCACTTGGGGCCCACCAAGGTGAGAATCACAAAGGAACACCTCCCTTACTCAAAGGAGATTCTCACCAAGTAGAGAACCAAAGCTCTCACTAGCGAGAGAAACCTAAAATACATCTATGATTAACAAATTTTTCGAGACCAAGCATTGCACCAAAACATCTAAGCCAATTCTTGTACGTCATCAAATGGAACACATTATAATGGCATCACTTGGAAATCTCTGGATTTTGTCATTATCTTCAAATGTTTTGTTTGTTCATCAACCATATGAAGAACACTTTTCAGATGATGTCAATTATTGCTTGTTCATTGGGGTTGGAGTGAATGATGATCAAACACAATAAGGTAGTTTCTCAGTTCTAAAAGATAAAGTTGTATTGCCTTAAAATACAAGATCAATTTTCTTACACCATTTTGTTCATTATCCACCTTGCCCAATCAACCACTCATTGCTATCATCAATCGTTTTCAATTAAATTGGGTAAACGATAAATCTTCACCTCAAAGCCCTACTATACTCAATGTACTAATCATTTTTTTTTTTTTGGAATGTGCAAGTATGTTCCATATATGATTTAAGGATGAATTCATTGAATAGTCATGGTCAGCCTTTGCAAAATTGCAAGTTAAGGCCATTGTTGCAGTTTTTTATGGCACTAGCCATTGCTAATTAAGCAAAGTAACTCCTAAAGTCCAACTATAGTTTAGCTAAATGTAAGTTTTAATGCCACCTGTATTGATTTGCCTTAGCTATATCATTGCTAGACATTCAATAGCATGTTATTGATAACAATGGTTGGAGTCACCTGATAAAAGTTTCAATTTATGTTGTTTTTTTCCTCTACCATGCTAATGTTACCATAAGACAATTACAACTATTGTGTTGCTTATAAATTGAGCTGATCTGATAGATTTTTGCTTGTGTTATTCAATATTGGGGAGGAAACTACCCTAATTTAAATGGGGCAATAATTTTTATCATATATGATGATTTCTTTTCAATGCTATGGTTTCTTTGAACTTAACTTCTTTATTCTTGGTTAATTCATATTCAATTGTTGAATTAATTAATCCTTTTACAATCTTGATGATGTCAACATGAAAAATGACAGTTTTTGTCTATTTTAGTGCTTCAAAGGAACTCTCTTTGTGCCTAAGGCAATGGGAAGGACCAATGCCTCTTTCACTATGAGAGGTGTTGGTGTCAACCAAGTGCTCGCCTTGGAGTGGCTTTTGTTCTTTTAATTGATTCATTCGGTGTTATTAAAGCAAAAGGCGCACTCAATGCACAAGGCTGGTAAAACGCCTTAGGTGCAAGGCACTAGAAAGGTGCATGCTCGAGTGAAGTAATGTGCCACCATGTCAAAATGCACATGTATAGACAAAAAATCAAAGATGAAATGATAAATGTAAATTTACTTAACCTTCATATGAATGCTCTTAAAAATTGTGTCCTATGAAAAAAACATAGATAAAAGTAGCAATCATTTTATGCATCATGAATAAATACTCCAGGAAATTGCAATTAGGCACCAAGAGGCTCTCACCTTTTGCTCAAGAAAGGTTCATAAGGTGTTGAAAGGCTAGCGCCTGATTAAATCCATTACCTCTCTTCACGTGTAATGATCCAAAAAATTTAAATTTTTTTCTTTTTTATTAATATTTTATTTAATTATTTTAGTTTATAGCACATGAGAAGTATTGGTTTAATGAAATTTATATTGATTACTTATGTGAAGATTTAAAATTTAAATTTTATTTAAGTCAAATGTTAAATGTTAGTTTTATTTTCTTTTATATGAAAAAAGTACTAAAGTGCCCTTACCTCTTGTTGAAAAAAAAAAACTTCAAAATTCTTCAATTAAAATGTTTTGGAAGGTTACTGTGAATGAGGTTTGAACATATGGTGATTTGCGAAATGTCTTGATGACGAGAACATTTCTATCTGCTATGCATTCGCGTAAAATACATATACACATACATACATACATACATATAATAATGTTAATATTAATAATAGGAAAATCTGATGGGGTCCCTTTTTGTAATTTTGTCCACCAACCTTGATGTTTTATTTCTCCTTTCTTCTTAGTCGGTGAGTTTACAGAACAGACTGAGAGAGAGAGAGAGCTTGCGGGGGTTCTTCGTTTTCTTCTCTTCCTGTCGCACTAGCTTCAAACTTATTGTCAGTGTGCTTGACTCCTCACCGCCGGCAGTTCGTTCGTTCCTTTCCCTCTGCTGTTCGCTTGTTTTTGCTTGTGGGATGGTTGAATCTCTTCCCCATTTCTGCTCTGTTTCGTGACTGACGAAGGTGTGTGTACGCGTATTTTGTCTCTCTCTTTTCTTATTCCTCAGCTGGTAAAAGTTCTGTGTTTGTCATTGGTAGCTCGATTCTTTCGTTTGTTAGCTAAATTTCTGGTCTTCTTCCATCTAGTTCGTGTAGTAGATTGAAATTCTTCTCTTCTCCTTCTTCAGCGTCGGCACGTTTGATTTATAGCTGTTGCCACTGTAGTTTCGTTAGAGGTGAGGTTCTGTTCTTTTCTCCTTCCTCTTCAAGTTCTATAACAGCACCGAACCGGCCTCCCCCTCCTCTGGCTGAGTTATGACATTCCTATTCCTTACTATTGCTGTCATAATTTGAGGAAATTGAATTGTATTTTGATTGATGCTGTGCAATATTTTAAGTTAGTGGTGGGCTGAATGTTGATGATTGAAATAATGTTGAAAGTTGATTAAATGGTTTGATGATTGTTGTGGGTTGAATTTGGATGCTCTCAAGGTGTGTGTGGAGATGCTTGAATGAAGAATTTAGGGGCTGTTTTAGATAATATTGGATACTATTTTATTAATGTTGAGCTAAAGATTGATGAAGAAATTAAATGTTGAAAATTAGTGAATTTGCTTGGATGATTGACTCATGATTTAGTTAGTGGTTATTTTAGTAAATTTATAATTAACTCAATGATTTGCTTTTCATTATTTTCTTCAATTGTAAACTGGGACGTTACTCATCGAAAACTTTCTTCAGTTTTAGATATTGTAGCTAGGGGTGAGCATCGGTCGGTTCCATCTCAAAATATGCTGAACTGATCAACCAAATAACACCGAAAATGAAAATCGAATCGAACTGAACAAACCAATCAAACCGAACAAGGATCGAACCGTCAGTTCGGTTGATTAATTCGGTTTTGTAATTTTATATTGGGCTATTGAAATTGGGCCCATTTTTTTAAATATTAAAACAAATAACACTACAAAATTGGGCCTTTTTTTCTATTTTTTTTTCAATATGAGCTTATTTTAATTATACCCATATGACATAAAGCCCAAATATTATAAAGGCATGGATAATAAAAAAAAATTTATAAAAAATAGGGTTAAGAGTGACTGACCAAAATAGGATTTCAAGTAATGATATTATTTTTTATTCTTTATTAAAAAATAAAATAATTTATAAATTAATAAATTATATGTAATTCGGTCGGTTCGGTTTATTCGATTTTAAATTTTACTAACCAAATTGAACCGATTAACTAAAATATTTAAAATAAAAAACTCGAATCAAACCGAAAAATCAAATAGACCGAATTAAATAGACAAAATTCGATTCGATTCGATTCGATTCGATTTGATTTTCAGTTTTGATTTAGTTTTGCTCGCCCCTAATTGTAACTGACCTTGCACCTCCTGCTAATCATTGAGCGGTACTATTGCTTTTATTTAGTGAAAGCACATATTGACATTTAGTTTGATGTAATTATGTTTTACATTAAAATTATAGATTTAGTGCTCCATGTATATCATAGTTAGGTCCTAGCTTTATTTTATTGTTATGAATGAAATCTGCTGGTGTGGAGCTACGCTCCTTTCTAGTTTTGCTGATAAGTTTTGTTATTATAGAAATTTCGAGAGGTCCTAATTATAGGAGAGACTTTGCTGAAATTTCTACAAAATGGCTAAGACTTTACAAATTTTAAACTCAAATACATATTATATATTGTTGTCTGGATTTTTTTTGGGTGTTAATTAAGGCTCATGGAATGTGAATATATCTCATATTTTGTGTCGATCACACTCTTAGTATCGGGGTGTGACAACATGAGAGGCGATGAGGTTGTTCTATGCCTTTGCCTCAATGGCTAAGGTGCAAAGGTGTGGTTTAACAACACTGAATTCATTCAAGGGACATATTGTTGCCATTGCCGACTGAATTGTGGTTCAAAGGGAAGAAATAGCCTTAGAAGGTCAATGTGGTTTTTTAAAATTTAAAGCTTCTTTTTTTTTTCCCCCAAATTGAATATGGGATTGCTTCATTAAGGACTGGAAAAATATAAAATCCAACTCAATAACTATTAGGTAATTGGAAGTAGCCGTGGCTACTACATCTTCAGGGTTGTAATGTGAGCTTAGCACTTGACAGGTGGCTTGATGCACTTAACATTACTATGAGTTATGTCCCATGAAGCACTAATACAGGTACAATGTTTGAGATGTGACATCACCAGATATATGAGAAACAAAAATTTTTAAAATTGAGTTCAGGGATTATATACTTAAATAACATGATTTATATGTCCAGTTAACAAAATAACTCATTAAAAAGTACAAATGATTATGGTATATGGTAAGAGATTACTAGTGTAAATGATAAAAGCATGGATAAAATGTAAGGTCTTCCTTCTTAAATGCAAAAGCATCATTGGATTGAAAACAAGGTTGAAGCATCACATTATTGCTCTGCCCACAAGATCGTATTTCTGCCCCTCCTAAAAAATTTCAAAGGCTCAATTTTTCTGCCAAAATTTTAGATAGGGGATGTCCTTAGAAGTTGTGATAGAAAAAAGAAAAAGATTGAGAGGATGAAAAAAAAACTTGTATCTTTGTACACAAGCCATAGCTTCTCCTTATTTCTTACATTTTCTCCTAAAGAATACACTTTCTTTCTTAGCCAACTTGAATCTCAAATTGAGTAGCTTTTTGTGAAGCACTTTTAAGTTGAGAGCAGTTGAGGCAAATGGAATCAAGCCGGCTTTAATGCTAATGTTAAAGTCATTGAGATTTTTGCTAGCCATTGTAGCACATGGCATGTGAGAGTAATGCAAACGAACTCATGCATGTGCTCCCATCAATATGATACTTGTATTGAATACACATTCGATATTGATGTTGCACCCTTTTTTGGCAAATCTGGGCATGTTGTTTTTCTTAATGATTATCATTCTGCTTGGATATGTTACTTAATTGTAGTGCATTTGATGATTCTTGCATTTGAATTGTTGATTTAAATGTCGATTGCTGTTACAAACTACAATTTATTTTCTTTATGTAAAAAACATATAGTTTTTGCTTTTCTAGGGTGTATGTTTAGTGTCTTTCATTTAAGGTGTTTAAGGAATCAAAACTTTAAGGGCGCTTTTTGCTTTTCTTTACTTTATTTCAGTTAATCTCATCTTAAATGTTTCGTATGTAATGCCCTGAACTTATTATCAGTGAAGGGATTGAAGGTTCTCAAGCATAGAATTATCTGACAATATAAAGAACATCAAAAGACAGCCAAGGAAGCTGAATTAGTAGTTCTGCCTAGCTTTAACTCTTGTAAATTATTCATAGGATGCACTCAGTAAAGCTCCTGTTACGTTTATGATACAACACATATACATTAATCTTGTATTTAATTATCTGAGCAACTTTTTCCTCATACATGATAATATCTTTCTATAGAAGTTTTTTCCTTTCTTTCCTTTACCAACAGTTTACTCTTTGCAATGTGCACTTTTTTGTTTTTCTTTTAATCATATTTTTTCCCCACTTTGTTAATACATTTTGGTCCTCTGTAAACATCTGATTTTGTGTGTACTATATGATGACATTGATAACTACAGGTGAGTGGTCAAGCTTTATAAATTACAAAGAGCAAGCTGTCTAGGAATTAAACATGGATAGTGGAGGTGAATATGTAAGCAGTCCAGGAACTACCTAACTGCAGTACCAAAAAGAAGATATAGAAGCTAACTATTCAGCTTTACGTTGAGGTAAAAGATTATTTGTGTTATTCAATTTACTCGACTAAAGCCACAGTGATTTTTCTTGTGGTACTAGTTACTCTATTTGCACAATTAAAATAGATAATGCAATAACCTAAGATGGCAACTACTTATTACTCAACTTATTATGTGAGCAAAATATTTCTAATTAGGACCTTCCAGTTTTGTTGATGAGGGCATCTTCTAAAACTTGATTTTGATCTTCATGGTATTAAAAGAACAGTGCCAGTCTTTAATCAATGTGATGAAGATTTAGAAATAAGTTTTTTTCCCCCCCTCACTTGAACTTACCCCTTTAAACCCTTTTCAGGTTGGGTTGTAGACAAAACCTTATTAACATTATTTGGATTTTAGAACTTTTTTTGCTGGGTATTCTTGATTTTAGAATCTTTAACCAGTAAAATTAGGGTGGGTGAGAAGAACCGAGTACTTTACCCCTTAGCCGTGAAGGTTTTGATGTGATTTTGAGGAACCGGTCTTCCAAATCCTGGAAGAATCAATTGTAAGGTGGTGATGTCATTTCTGATTTATTCAAAGGCAATTATGCTTTCTTTTTCTGATGCTCTTATGACACCTATAACGAGACATATAAATCTAACCAAGGAGCCAGAAACATTCAACTAAGTAAGTTGGGATTGGAGTATCAAAACAAAATCTCTTATTAAATTTTCAACTCAGTTAATTCATCTACATGTGAAACTTGGAAAATATTATTTCATGTGAAGGTCACAAATGTTATGGAGGTGCTTGTGTGATTTAATCTCAAAAGAACTTCTTTTTACTCTTATGTGGTCATATGGAAGTGCTCAAGCAGCATAATCTTGAGTCCGGTATTTGCATTTTTTCTGAGGTAATGTAGAAAAATGAAAACTATGCGCCCTTGAGTTTCTTGCTGGAAGTGCATATATGATTAATGTCTCTATAGTGAGTTTTTTGTGCTCTCTCTCTCTCTCTATATATATATATATTGATGTGCCTGTTTGGGTAATGACCAATATAATGATGATACATAACATTTATTACATCATTATGATGCGTCGTTTGATTAAGCATTGGCAAGAGGGGTTGTGTGGTTTAAAATATTTGACATAGTTTGACTCTTCATTGATATTTGCTGTATCTCGGTTTAATGTAATGAAATCTAATTAACTTCTTATTGGCGTACTTGAATATGTGATACACACACTATACGTTAAATTGATTATTTTTTACATGAGTTTCAAAAGGTTGATATTTTTAACATGTAAGTTGGGTTCTAGAAGTGGCTTTATTTGGTGCTATCAATTTTTTGCCTCAGTACTTTTTTCTAAAAAATAATTAAAGTGGAATTTCTCTTCTCCAGGGAGATTTTTTCAAGGTCTTTAGTGGTCAAGGTATTCTGGTCATCAGTATTTTTTCTTTATTGAGTTAGAGTTCAGTTTTCTCTTAATTATGTGAAACAAATTATGGAACATAATAACGTAGAATCACATGCACCTCCGGAGAAATTCAGATTACACCCTTAGCATTGTAAAGCTTCTTTGTATATTGAATGAACCTTAATTGGCTTTGAAGAAATTGTTGTGTTGGAAACTAAAGATTCCAGAACAGTAAACATAAAACCCAATAGACAGACACTTCAAAAGAGTTTTGTTGGTTCTTTAACTCTCAAAGATACTGTGTTGCATTTTGTCATTTATGGGGACACTTTAAATTTAGGTGTGTTCATAGTTATAGGTGCTTGCCTCACTGCCTGAGGCATTGAAGCAAGGTGCTGAAGAAGTGCTGACTCTCACATCATGAGATATGTTGGCTTCAATTGTGACACTTATATTAGCATCAGCAAAGGCAAGCACCTGAGGTATCTTGATATATAGTTGAATGGCTGAAATAAGAAATAAGATTAAATTAGAAAGTATTGCTTTGAAAGTATGATGGGTATTTAAATGTGGTGGGAAACCCTCTCCAAAAAATGCTAGCTATAGTAATGGGAGAATTAACTCATGTAAATGCCTCGTTAAACATCTCATACTAGTAAAAGTGGGACATAGTCATCCATACTATCCGAGTCTCTGTCAGAATAAGGTTTATATAATTTTCATTCTCACTCAAAAAAATAGTGATGCAACTAGTTTTTTGGGGTTTTGTTAACAGACAAGCAAAACAAAGCTTTTATTTCTTTTTCTTTTTTTAGAACTAAGAAAAAATCACAGGAGAACTCTACAACGATCCTAGTTGATGAATCAAAGTCTCTATTCCTCTTGGCAATTTTTTTTTTATCAATCTTTAAATGCCAAGGAACCTAACTGCCTTTAACAAGCCAATCCACACGAGCTTTCCCCTCCCGCATGGTATGGCAAGCTCTGAGTACTTTGCAAAAGATAGCATTGGATGTGTTTCCAGGTAAAATTATCTCTTCAACCTCATTAGAGATGATTCATGATCACATTAGATAATGAAATGAACAATACCCAATGATTTCATAAGTTGAAAGCCATGCGGCAAAAAAAAGTTTGTTATTATGCTTGAATCTGTACTGATAAAATTGAAAATTATCAGTCTAACGTTGCGTATTCATATTTGTTTATTTCATGTAACATTTCTAGTATTTTCCCTTATTTAGTATCTCACCTCACTTGAGCTGTCTAGCTAGTGCCTTTTACTTTTAACCGCACTTCTAAGTTCCAGACCTTGTAAACCTCTTAAGCTTGCTTTGAAATCTTTGCTGTTTCCTGTCGTTTAAAAGGTTAATGGACATCCAATCTCAAATAGAAAGGCCTTCTTTGTTAATGAAATTGTTACTGAACGAAAAAATGAATTAATGAAACATCACTATTGCATCAGTCAGGGTTTCAAAACTAGTTTGCGTAATACTGGTGGTTTCATCTCCAAACCGTTAGGATTTTCCCAAGCAACTCATGTAATTATGATATTGAACTCTCTATGATGCCTTTATATATGTATTTAATCTACCTAAAACGATACGATCCTGTAACCAATGCTCACACAGTTTATTTGATCGGAACATATGCATTGCCATAAGCATGTTCTTTGCTCTTTCACAATCTTATCATTTGTGAATTGTTGGTACTCGCATTGATGTTAAGCCTCTGTTTAGTTTGGTTGTCCAATTTCACTTCTTATACAGTAATATATTAAATTCAAATTCTATCAATTTAATTATGTTTGGCCAAAAGTGGTCAAGCTAATAAACCTCTGTCATAACACCTGGATTTATTTTGATTACTCCATTGATATGATGCTCAGTGTACTCTTCCGTGTAGTTCCATGTAGCTTCCTTTTTTCTCCTTTTTTGCAATTTCAATAATCATGTTGTGCGTGAAAAAAAGATAGTTTTGTTCTCATCATGGTTACTTGTTTGCTGTATGCATGACTTGGAATGGAACTTGATAAAGCATGATAAGAAACAACAAGCAGCGGGGTCGACTGCATGATCGCACAGTACCATTTGTGCTCTAGCTATCAACAAACAACTCTCTGAAAATATTGCCAGCAAAAAATTGTGCTCTATCAAGCATGATAACAAAGGGCAGGGAAAATGTGTGAGGTTCAAGCATTGCTATCTGTCCCATTTCAGTAGTTCATTTGGGTTGGGGCCGAAAGAAACAGTTGAATAATGCAAATGTTGCTGGCTATTGGCTTCTGCATTATAGAGTGGGGAAATCCTTTGAATGAAAGATGATGATGGATTCATATGAAGTTAATCAACAAATGACAATGGATTACAGGTAGGTTAGTTTTAAGATTCATTATAGGAGGCAAGGTTCTTTCTCCTTAAATGACAACTGTATCGTTAGGTTTAAGATTAGTACCCTTACTGTTGTTCATTTGACCAAGAACGATTACAAATTGCTTGTTATTTTGGCTAGGGTTTTAGTATATTACATGGGTATTTAGGTTTCAAAGTGATTTAGAATTCATGTTAAGCTTGTGGCTCAAAAAGTATTTACAGATGTATTTATAGATTACTTACCAACTAGTAGGTAGGATTGATGAGTTGCAAGATGTCTCATCGAATTATATTGTTAATAGGCCGTGAATATTACGATTCTATAGATTTGATTAGGTCTTCACGGCAAGACCGGAATCCTTGTTTCATGGGATGAAAGCTAAATTCTTTCCAACTCAATCCTGGCTGAAGGGAGTCATCCATAGGTTTGGTTTTATGGAGGGGACCAAACTCATTGCAAAAATGATGTATAAATGTAGCACTTCAGTTTTGTACCGATACGGCTATTTAGATTGTGCAAAACTCGAAGAACCTAGCAATCTCTTCTCTGTCCGGTCTGAATCGGGCAACATGAAAAACCGAGTGGAATATTTTCAGCAATTCTATTCTCTCTGTTTTTGTTGTCTCTTTAAGCCTCATTGCTGCCATTGCCTCTCGCCCCCCCAGGCAGCCTAGTGTGGAAAGCTTCTGACTTTCTGATTCTCGCTAACTTCTTGTGAATCAGTTAGGTCTAATGTGATCTCTACTGGTTGTAGGGATGTTTATAGGCACAGTTTGGTTTGGTTTTGGCCAAAAATCGAACCGAATCGAACTAAATCATTCAGCTTACTCATAATTGGGATGTGATTGGTTTTTATGAAGCTTAGTTTGGTTTGGTTTAATTTTTGGTTTGATCAAGGTTTAAATCAAATTTTAATGTACTTATTTAATTTTTTTTTTTTTTTTTTATATTCATAATGGTGCTATGTATTAAAATTAAATTTAATTTTTTTGGCTCATTTTTTCATAAATAGAGGTATAAAAATATAATAAAATTTTAATGTGATAATGATAATGAATCATAAAAATTGATAAAAAATTTTAAGATATTATGCATTTCATTCAAGTCTTTTAAAAATATTTATCTATGTATCTATCTTTTAATAAATAAAGAAAAATTTGTTGTACGAAATTTAAAACAAAATTTTTCTTGTAAATAAATTGAATATTTCAAGTTGTAAATAATTAAATGATAGTTATAGCATGATTATTATAATTATTTAATATTATGCATTTTTATTTAAGTCTTTTAAAAATATTTATCTATTAATATAAAAAAATTTAAAATAAAATGTTTCTTGTAAATAAATAGTTTTATATTTTATAAGTAAATAAATAGTGTTTTATTAATCAAGTTTGGCTTAATTTGGATTGGTTTTTAGTGTTCTAAACCGAACTTGAATAAATCAATCGGTTTTCACATTATAAAAATTGAAACAGACTTAATTGTTGTTAGGTTTTGATCAGTTTGGGTTGGTTTGAGTCAATTTTTTTAATTTAGATTAGTTTTGAACACTGGTTGGATGTTATTGAGTGTTGAGTAATTTGTTATTGCTTGAATTCTGATTAATAAATTTGCAGCTGATGGATCTGCTTTTTCTATGTTTGCCTACCGAGTGCTAACTTCTACTCTTAAAAAGAAACTTGAATGCATTGGCAATACTTTGTAGTTTGTATGATTCTGCTGCTTTGGGTTCTCCTTGGATCAAAACTTGAATGGATCAAGTTCAAATTGGTTGTTAACTGGATCCGGTCTATAGACTATATGCACGTCAATGGGTTTCTAACATATATGTGATTTTATATGAAAATTATAGTACATTTGAATTAAAATAAGACCATGGAAAGTAAGAAATATGTATGATCGAGAAGCACATATTTTTAATTTTCTGCTTGGCTGGTTTCACGTTTATAAGAGTGTTTAATTAATTACCCGAATTAATTAGGGGTGTTTAAAATAAAAAACGAGTGAGGTAGTGTATAATGACCCCCTTTTTTGTACATCAAGATCTTCACCAATTGTCACCTGTTAAGATAGCTCCATATGTGCCGTTAGAATGTATTTTTATGTTTAATACAAGCGTAATTTCTTGTCACTCTGTCCCAGTTTATTTCTTTACCCAAAGAAATATCCACTATAAAGTTGTTTGTAGTTTCTAATCTTGTAAAATTATATTGTATTGGCTATATTCCCAAGTATCCTTTTACATGATCCATGCAGTCTGTTCTTAGAAAATGAAGTTTACATTTTACCAAAAAATAGAAGATAATTTATTGTGGCTCGTTATGTACTTTTTTTTGTGGCCACATTTTATACTTCTGATCTTGAAATACAAAACAATAGAATATTTTTACTTATATGTAGTAGTTTCTAGCATAGAATCTTAATACCTCTTCAACAAGCAATGTCATCTTATTAGGTATGGTTAACTATATAGATTGTATGATCTCAATGTACACTATTATCAATCAAGCTGTTAAGAATAATGTTAACTAAGAGGTTTCGTTCAATAATTTTTATAAGTGTTTTCTTTAATTTTTTTTATCTCTTTTAACATAGATAATTTGTTCCACTTTCTTGCTAGTGCCTCATGTGCCTTTTTTATACATGTTTAAATCATCTTAAATGATTTTATACCACATCAATTTTTTTTAGTATATGCTTATTTTAAATTTTATCTTTTTGTATATGCCTGCATGTATATCTATTTTAGCATTTTCATCTACTATTTCAATGGTCCTGTTGCCTTTTAGAGCTCAACATTTACTATCATATATCATAATTAGTCTTATAATTCGATAAAATTTCCTTAAGTTTCGTAGATATTTTTCAGTCACAAATAATTTTTTTAGTCTTTTTTCTAATTAAATCACCTAGCTTGTGTCCTATTCCCTATTATGTTCAATTATAGCTTTTATTTAAATTTTTTCAATTGAGGTAGATAATCTAATTTTTCAATCCCACTTTTAAATTACTACTAACTGATCTTTTATTAAAATTATAATATAAATATTTTGTTTTACTCCTACTAAGGCAGAAGCCCTTCGACTCTAAGATCCTCCTTCATAATTTAAGTTTGTAATTAATCTCTTCTTTTGTCTCCATAATAAAAACTATATTATATGCAAAAGCATGTATTTGGAGATTTTCTCTTGAATATGCTTAGTTAAAACATATAGAATTAAGTCAAACAAATAAGGATTTAAAGATGACCCTTAATAGTTCAATCTTTATAAGAAAGGCTTTTGTTTTACTACCAGATGTTCTTATACTAGTTGTTGTCCATACATATTTTATATAGCTTTAATATAGGCAACTTGAACTCCTTTTTTTCTCAAGGTTTTCTAACTCACTTCTCTCGATACACAATCAAAAGTTTTTTTTCCTCAAATCAATGAAAATCACATATAAATTTTTATCTTTGCTTCGATGCTTTTTCATTAATCCTCTTATTAGATAAATTGTTTTTGTAATTGCCTTACTCGCTGAACCTCTCTTTTATTCTTGTAGTGTGAATTAAGTTGTTTCTCCTCCATTTGTTAGGTATTTTCTTAAATAGTAAGATCTTATTAAATAACTTAACCATTGTACCCCTTATTCACCTAAGCATTTTATATTTCAAGAGGGATACAATCAAGTCTATTATTAGCTATACCATTTGTTATTTTTTTAAGAGCTTTCTTTATCTCACTATCACGTGTTTTTTTTGATAAAATGACAAATTCTATTCTTCTTTATGAGTTACTAAATCTTTCAAGTTATTATACAAGCCACCTCCATCATTAAAAAAAATTCATAAAAGTAGGTCTTCTATTTGTCTTTAATATTACTATTTGTAATCAAAACTCTTCTTTCTTCATTCTTTATGCACTTTACATGTTTCAAATCTATTGATTTTCTTTTCCTACTTTTAGCAATTTTATAAATTTTTTATTCTCTATCCTTTGTTCCAAAACCCTTGTAAAACTTTTCAAATGCTTAAGATCGAGCTTCACTCATAACTTTTAATTTCTTTCTTAACTATACAATATTTTTCCCAATTTTTTAGCATTATTGCACAAGTGGATCACTTTAAAACACTCATTCTTATGTTTGATTTTTTCTTGAACATTCTCATTTCGTTACCATGACTTTTTATCTCTCAGACAAAAATCTTTTGATTCTTCTAAAATTTTTTTAGCAACCTTCCTTACCTTTTTAGTCATATCCTTCTACAAAATGGTAGCGCTTTCTTGAGACTATCAAATTCATTCAACCGAAAGATTTTGCTTGAAAAATTTCTACTTCTCATCTTTTAACTGCCATTACTTAATCCTCAAGTTTACCACTTGTCGATACTTTTGATTTATACTCTTAATATGCACATCAAGGATAAAAATCCTATTGTGTTGTAACGTTAAGAATCACCTTACAATTTTTATGAAATCTTCTATTTGTATTCCTTACAAAAGAAAAGGTCAATATGTGACCTTAAGACTCCAAGTTTGTAGGTAATGAAATGTTAATCCCTCTTTGTGAAATAAGTGTTGATAATCTTGAAATTGTATGTCAAAGAAAAATTAATAATAGATTGTTCTTCATTTTGTATCTCTCTAAAACCAAAATCATCGTGCATCCTTGCATAATTATCTGTCTTCTTCAGTAAAGATTTTTTCACTTTGTGGTATGTTTTGAATCTACCCCTCCAAATTTTTTTAAAACAATTCTTTAAGATTGGTTTCTACCTTAACTTGAGGTGGATAAACATTAATAATATTAATAGTCTAACACTAATGATCATTTTTAAGGAAATGATTTTATCCTTAATTATGTTAATTTATATTATATTTTTCTTCCACTCCTTATTAATAATGATACTCATCTTATTTTGTGTGCTTACTTTTCTGTATAATAAAATTTGAAAACTTTAATATTTGCAACTCATTCATCGACTCATTTAGTTTCCTACAGGTATAAGGTATTAATTCTTCTATAAATTATAACTCCTACCACCTTTATAGATTTACAAGTTAAGGTTCTAATGTTTCAAGTATCAAATTTGATTTTGCTCACATGAACTAACGTCTTTAGCCCTGCTCCTCCAAAATAACAAAGTAACTCTTGTTCATTGAACACTACACCTAGGCACTGATGCAATGGCTCTAACTTTCTTATTGCTACACTGAAGTTGTACGTTACTTTTGGCCAACAGCATGACATTAACATAACAATGTCTATTATTAATATCCATGTGAAATTTAATAAAGTTTCACATTGGCTATTGGGAGCCTAATATAACTCGCCTTCTTTATTTGAATTAGGGACGTGCCATACACATAGGCAGATTTAGAATAGAATCTTAATAAATTAAATAGATTGTGTTTAGCATGAAATCTAGCAATGCATTGGGGTTGAGAATGCATGATTACTTTTCATATTCCTTGAGAAATATTTATTTCATAGCATATTATTTATCAGACAAGTCAATAAGATATCTGTGTCTTTTCCTCCCTTAAGAAATTGATAACATGGGCATTTTAAAGCAAATAATGTGCATATAAAAGGGGTAATTATTTGATTGTGCAAATAAATGGGATATATATTATTTGGTTATTCAGGGGACCAATATTTCATAATTGCTTTTGAACCTTTTATATTTCATTGTTCTTTTCTCTATCTTTCTTTGAAGCCATCCTCTTCATTCATTTGTGAATTTTGTAAATGTAAAGAGTTATTGGATGGAGATTATTCACACACACACAAAAACAAACAATATGTCACGGTTAAATATTTCAAACGTAATTTGTACATATTGGTTAGGAGTGTTCACTTGATAGAATGAGATCGAGACACTCCTGTCTCGTGTTCCATTCAAAAAAAAAAAGACTAAAACTGAATTTGTCCTGTGTCTCATCCTGTTCTGAAAGTTATCCTGTTCTATTAAAAATTGGGACGGAAGTGGGACGTCCTGCTGTCCCAATAAATTGGACAATATTAGAGAAAGATATAGACAATAATATTCATTGAAATTTTAAATCATATAATTTACTAAGTTTAAAATCAAAACAACACAAATACATAAATTACAATAATTTAAAATTAATTATTAAATTATATTAATCATAATTACACATTATAATAGCAATTACAAGTGATCTTTAGGTTATAAGAGCAGCAACAATAGGCTAGTTAAGCATAATATTAAATCATTATTCTTTTATTTTAGTTGAGATGCGCTAAACTAAATACTCTTTTAAAAGTAAAGAAAAAAATATGATATAAATAAAAGTTATTAAATAGATAGATATAAGAATAAATTATATTAATATAATTAATATATTATAAAGAAAGATATTACCTTGTTTATTTTATGTCATTAAAATTATTAATATAAAAAATTTTAGTTTTAAATAAGAATTACACGTATTGAAATTATACTTGATATAATTAATATAAGTATAAATTATATTAATATAATTAATATATTTAATGTTTATTTTTAAAATAAAAAATAATATATATACATATATATAAAATATTTTGGATGAGACGGGACGTCCCGATGATAATCTCATGTCATATCCTGTTTCCATTATTTTTGGGCTGAGATGAGATCCATCTCGATATTGATTGGAATGATATCGGGTCCATTAGGATGGGTATAAGTTAAACACTCCTAATATTGGTGAGCACAAATTTCATATTTTGTAGGTTTTCTATTTTGTAAGATGAATTTAACTTAAAAAAGGGGGGAACAACATTCAAGGATGTGTAAATAAATTTATTCATAGAAAAGATAAATAAAAAATGAATTGTTAAAATGGAAATATTGACATATTTTTTTCTTAAATGATGACATTTATTATTGGTCCTTGTATGTGAAATATTCAGAGATCATGTGATTTTTCCAAAATAAAAATACATGTATGTAATAAAAAATGCATTATAAAGAAAATTAACATGATAATCATACTAAACACAAACTTATATCAAAAGAGTTGGGTCTATTAGAAGTGGTTAATTCCTCATAATGTGATAAATTAAAATTTAATATCCAATCATATCTTGAACATGACTGTCTTCAAAATAAAAATACTTTCAAGCAATAAAAAAATAATACTAAACATAAGCTTCCACTTCAAAGCAAATGGATAATTAAGGCCTATTTGTTTTTAATTTTTCAAAATTTCTTTTCATTTTTGAAAATAAAAAATTTTAAAACTTGTTTGGATAAGTGTTTTAGATTTAAATATTTTTAAATTAAAACTATTTTTTGTTTTTTAAAATAAAAAAAAAAAGAAACAGCCACAAATTGTTTTCGTTTTATTTTTTACTTTCAAAATACTCTATTATTGAAAATTATAATTTCTTTGACCAATTTGTATAATAAATTATCACCATTAATCATCTTAAACTATAACTATCAGTCTATTTTTAAATTCTAAAATTTTTTTTAAATTAATATGACTAAACAAATTTTTATTTTATTTTGTTTTGAAAAAAAATTTTAAAAATTATATTGCAAGACAGTTTGTAAAAATAAAAAATGAGAATAGAAACCAAACAAACTCTTAGACTAATGATTTTCTGTCTCATTGGTTGCCTCCAAGTTTGGAAATTATTCTCATTTTACTTATCAACCATATCATATATAAATCTTGATATGCAAATTATATTGAGATTTATTTTTTTAATTATAACTTTTGAATTTTTTTAAAAAGAAATATGATTTATATATTTAGTTCAAAAATGATAATAAGAAACCAAATTCTCTTGTGACGCATTGAGTTCAAATCATGAGAATGCATTTGTGTTAAATACTTGGTGGAAGAGTTTTGCTGTGCAATTTGTGACCTTGCTCAGCTCAATTTAAATTGATTGTTAAGTCTTTCAATTCAAGTGGGACATGCTAAGTCCTCCAATTCAAGTAAGGTAGGCCTATAACACCGGATGGTCTCACTATCAAAAAATTAAATTTTATATAAAAAAAAATCTGTATGAATAAATATACCGTAAAACATGTAATAAAACTTTTTATAGAGATTTCATCATTTTTATGAGACTAAGAACCCATAAACTCCTAATTCTTTAGCACTCAAGTATCTAGGCGAAGGTGAATTATATGCAGATGCATGCACAATGATACATAGAATCTTATATAAGAAAAACTCTATTATTGTTTTATTAAAAACTCTATTATTGTTGTTGCATAGTCTGTGCCCCAATTATTATATATATAAAAAAAGATGGGGGATCTAGGAATGAATATTCCATGGTCCATAATGATTCAGGATTTAACGTTAATTGAGACAAGACAATTCTCATTCAAATTTGTGCTTATTCCAACTTAAGCTGCGTTTGATTAGGACATTTCACCTAATTGTCCCAAAATTAATAATAATAATATCATTTTTTTCCCTCAAGAAACGACAAGATTCATCATGGAAATCAAGGTTAAAGTTGTATTATAAGTTGGTGGGCAGGTACCCACCGTTGTTTTGATTAGTGCCCAAGCAATTAAGTCGGTTAATAAAGTCATTTACTACCATCTTCGACACAAACTAATCAAAAACATTAATTTTTTGAAAAAACATATCTATAGATCCTTACAATTTCACTCAATTTTAAATTAGATCCTTACAATTTATTTTATTTTAATTGAGCTGTTATAGTTTAACTAATTAAAATTTTTAATTCTTGAAAGTTAAAATCCTTACATTTATCCTTTTAAAAAAACAAAATTAAAAACTTTTTCATTTTTATTAAATGATTATATGATTTTAAAATTAATTACATAATTTTTATAACTCAAAATTTATATAATTAATGTATTTTGAATTATTTTATACACGTAGAATTTTCAAAAAAAATTATAATCAAAATATAAAATGTGAATTAAATCAAATTTTATTTTTTAATTTTAGCTAAAAGTATTAAAATAAATTTTCTACAAACTCTAAGAGTATTTTTGTTTTTGTAAAATTTAATAATTCATTCTTAATTTTAAGGATCAATATATATAATAGATGAAATTATAAGAGCTTGATTAAAATAAAATAAACTGTAGGAACCTAATTTAAAATTAAGTAAAATTGTAAGAATCTGTAAATATATTTTTCCTAATCTTTTTTATCTAGTTTATTTAATATCTTTTCAAATTTTCTTTATCAATTGCATAATTTTTCTTACTTCTTTGTAGAATTTTAGTGGGTTGGGCTTATTTAGATTGAATTTAAAGTATTACATTGCTTTTAAAAGTTTATATAGTCAAGTTTGACCCAAATACCTTAAAGCTTCGGGCTTATTTGAGCCTGCCCAAATATTTAAAACTTTTTAAAAATATTTTTCTCTTTATTTTTTAACCAATTTTAATTTGTAAATAATTTCATTAAGCATAAAATATTATTTTAACCTTAAAAGAATAAAATAAAAATAATAACTTATTAACTTTGGACTTAAATAGCTCTGTTACTATTTTTTATATTATGTTTAATTTATTTATGAATATTTTCTTTTCTTGTAAATTAATGTCTTAATGATTCAAAATATCTCTTATCATGGTCATGTATAAATATTTTATATATTTTAATTAAATTATATTATTTTAATTATGATCAAGTTAATCTTAAATTATAATTAGACTATTAACTTAAAATTATTATTTCAAATGGTTCAAAGTTTTTAATAACTTTTAAGTAAACTGTACTTTTATTTTTAGAAAAATGAAAAAAATAGCCATCATTATATTATATAAAATAAAATTATTTAATTATGAGTAAAATACTATTTTTTTGAAATTATTTTTTCTTTAACATTTTATACTATTTAGCCTTACATACAAGAAGTTTTTACTCTAGATTATTCTTAATTTTTAATCAAGTCTAGCTTGGATGATAACTAAATAATTATTCAAAAATATTTTTTTATAACAGAAAAACAAATAGTAATTAATCAAAATAAGGATTCTAACTATAATATATGTGAAGCATTCATGATAGAATTTACAACATATATTATATAAATTCAAATTTTATGAGAACGGAGATTAATCAGCATAATGCTTCATCTTTCACTTGCAAATAAAACCCCTCGATGATCATATGAAGGTATAGGGCTAGCTGCACTATATGAGATCAAAAAATATTTTTTAATGAATAACATTCCAATAATGTTAAAATTTAAGAGAATAAATGTAAAGGAATAAATTTAGTATACTTCAGCAATTATCTAAAAATAAACTGAAAAGAAAATAATTCAATATAACATGCTTACTAATTTTGGAATAAAAAATCATAAACCATTAAATAAGAGTAATCAAATGATTTTTATATGAATAGAAGAGGTGGCATACTTATTAATTGAAACCAATAAAATTTAATTACACAATTCAATTAAAAGTGTAAAATTTTGATGACTTAACAGAATAAATAACAAACATGGACACACAATCTATGAGGATAAATAACCAAATGCAGCTTATGCCATGAAGACAAACGTGGACACATAGTCTACGAGGATAAATAACCAAATGCAGCCAAAGCCACAAAAACAAATGTGGACACACAGTCCACGAGAGTAACACTAACCAAACGCAGCTTGAAACCACGAAAATAGATATAAATACAAGACCCACGAATAACAAACTTGAGAACAGAACTCAAAAAAATTAAACTAACTAGTTATTAACCTTAGCGCGACAAGGACTGACGGAATTACTGTTAGCAACCAGTATTTTACTTATATTCCTTAAAGAAAATCACCTTTCAAACATGAGAGAAAATAACCACTTATCAGGATACAATTTTCTCTTCTCAATAACAAACTCGCATGAATTATTTAAAAATTCAATCTTTTCAAATATGAAAATTTACAACTAATGTTTCATAAACTCCTTCACCAGTTTTCAAGATTTTCCTTATCGAATAAAGGAATACTAGAACTCATAAATGCATTTCCGTCAATCTTATATGTTATGATTTCAAGTGCTAAAGATATTTAACTAATAAAAGTACTTAGAGAAAAATATATTAATAACTGTAAATGTGTTGAAAATAATATTTTAATAAAAGAAAATTTGTTAAGGTATTAATTGATTTGAAACGTTATCTACTTACCTTGATCAGCTCCCAAGATAATAATTTGTTCCTTCTAAACACTTTCCAATTGCCCTTTAGCTACTTTATTACCTAGACGAGGACAAACAACTCTCTTTAACGATGACTCCACTTCATACATCTCCTATAAATATTCATTAACCCAATATCTTGTCCAGAACATAACAAATTTCCTCAATCCTTATTTGTTCTTAACCCATCAGCCATCTAAAAAATATATTATTCTTAATTCTTTCTCTAACTTCAAATGATATCATTTTGTCACTCATATATTCTTCCCTTGGTAAACAAAGTGATCTATCATCAAGGTTCTTCAATGATTACTCACAAGTATGTTTTATTCAAAGCATGCACCATTTCCTTTCTTATATATTTGCAAGTATTTGGACATCAATCCAAACCCATTAAAATAATTGAGGCTAATATTCAACAACTCAATGAACACATTCCAATCCAAATCCATGACAAAATTGAAAGAAATTAAAATAGATTAATATCAATTTTTCTACATATAGAAAGAAACATTGAATTCAATAAAACACACACACAAATGTTAGATAGATATAGATGTTCGAACAGTATTTGCACCTTCCTAAGTTTCAATATAATGATTAAACCACCTAAATCCTAAATTTCAATCCTTAATACACCTAATGTACTTGATTACTCCAATCCAATTCTCTTGTGCATTTTAGCAAACACCTTGTGTGCATTAATTAAAAAAAAAAAAAAACCTGTATCCTCAAGCTTCCTACGCTTCCAGTCTCTTGCTCAACCATTCCTAAACTTTTCTATAAATCTATTATGCTTCCCAAACCAATGTCTCTCTCTGTTTCTTCTTTTAAAAAAATCCGTTAAAAAAAAACTGAAATTCTTTCTAGTCTTAAATTTAATCTTGTGGGAACATCAATCTTTCCCTTATACACAGCAACTAATATGAAGGAAGAATCAAATTTTCAGCAAATTCCTAGAGGTTAAAACACCCACCGATCAGACATAAGGAAGAGGGAGGATGGAGCTTGACTCACCAAGGAGCAAAGGAGGAATGTGTATAAAGTCTCAAAGTTCTCTCCCTCACCTAGAACAGCACCAATGCGGAACAGTAGGAGGAAGAAGAAGGGCAACATGCGATGTAGAAACAGAGGAGGAATAGCAGAGGAATCGCGAGCTTCATGGAACCCTCAGTTGTGACGAACGGCAAACCCATATTTGCCAGCAACAGACAATCCAAACAGAGGACAGAAGCTTCTCGATCCATTTCTCCCAAATGTGTTCTCTTACCGTCTCTCAAATGCGTTTGACGGAAGACGGAAAAGCATGAATAAGAAGAAGAAAAATCTGATGCGTTTTTGTTTCTTTTAAAGCAAAGGGCATTTATGAAATTTTTGGCAGTGCTGAGACAAAATAAATGTCTCTTCTAATGCCACCAGTTCGAACTCTGCCTGAAATTTATAGATCACAGCACATCCCACCAAGCTGCCAATTTAGTTTGTTATAACTTATCCAAAAATTTTATAAAACGAGGATCAAATAGCTTATCCTCAAATTTTAATTTATTATTATTTCTAAGCCATTACAATTCAATAATTTCACCCAGGCTGATGCAAAAACAAAATCCGCTTTGTGCTCCAAAGGGATTAGAACTACTTGAATAAATACAAACATCCAAAGTCATTACCATTAAACCATCAATTCACTCTTATTAAACTACACCAAAAATATATAAAAATATAATTAAAATACCTTACCACTAATTCTTATTTTAATTAAATTTTTTGGCCATTACATTCATAGTAGGAGTGGTACTTATAACATTATCATATATTTGATCATCACTTCCTCTATCCAAGGAAGATTTCATAATAAAGGAAGGAGTAATAGCTTTCACCTCTACCTTCATCTTTTCACTGGTACTTTGCTCATTACCTGCACTAGTAGAAGGAGAAACACAAGAATTTTTCTTGGAAGAAATTAATGCATTTTTATTAAATGTAACATCTATATTAAGAATAACTTTCTTCCTATTAGAGTCAGAACAATATAACCGATATCCTTTAGATTTATATGCATATTTAAGAAATATACATTTTCTAGCTTTTGGAGCTAATTTACCATCTATTCACCATCAAATATTATCGCAAGCATATGGGTTTTCACAAGTATAGAATATTCCAGAGTTATTATTCTCAAGAAGATTTAGTCAAAAGAGGTTTAAAATTTACTATTAAACTTTAAGATAGGTTGAGCAAAAATCAAGAGTATGTTTGAGTGAAAATAATAAAAATTAAATTAAGAAGTGTTTTAAAACAATTAAAACTCATTGAAACCTTAACTTTCAGAGGTGAGGATCTAAGATTATCTTTCCCCTTTGTATTTCATAAAACTCAAATTAATTCCTTTCAAATAGCTTTTTAATGATAATAAGTGTTAGTCTAAGAATCTAATCTATTTGAAAAAGCTTTCTTAAGTCAAAATTAAGTATATTTGTGCAATTTTAATATGACTATGCAGAGTTAATAAAATATCTCTATTTTACCAACAAAACCATCCATTTATCTTTGTAAATTTCTAGCCCAACAATATTTTATCCAAGTTCTACACTTAAATTAGCTCTTTCAAGCACAACTTAAGTGAACAAAGCAATTTAAATGATGATCAAGCACTTAAAAGTATTAAGTATAGGATAAAATAAACACACACACACACAAACCCACCCACCCACCATTAACTACCAAAGAGAGGAATATTCAAGTCTTTAATCCATACAAAGTTTTGAAATAATCCTAGAACAAGAAAATTAGCTACTCATTTTCAAAAAAGAGACATAAATGTCACAATGTAAAGCATCCATATTAGAAACGAAAAGAGAAATGGGAAGAGAAGAAGAAAAAAATGAAGAAAATCTACTTGAATCTCTTCAGATCTTCAATCCTTAGCCAAATCTCCTTCAAAACCCTAAACCCTAGTAGAGAATGCCTCTAAGAACTTCATAAAGTCACATCTCCCTATCTGAAGGCATGTTTATGGCTTATCTACCCTAATTTTTCCATTTTATAGCTCAAAACATAGCAAGATTTAGGCCATGCTTCACGGCGTGTTGTCATTACATCATGGCACATATGGTAAAATGTGAAATTGCACCACGGTGTGTTAGTAGTACACTGCAGTGCTTCTGCATCTCCAAGAACTTCATCTTTGTGTCACGTGCCACAATACATGATACAAAGCCTTTAATCTTCACTTTTTGCTCCAATTTTTTTTACTGTTATGTTTCTATATGCATCATCAAACATCATTTGACTATTTATCTTTAAAATTACCTAAAATAAATCACTTGAAACAGTTGATACAGCTATGAGATCTGTCAAAGTTTAAAATCAAGGTAAGAGCCTATGCAAAATTCTCAATAAATTCTATTTTCTAAGTCAATCTAGATTAAAGCTCATTTTCTTATATTTAAACTTAAAATATTCACAATGATATAATTGAACAAAGAAAGTGTAGGAAAATGCACTGAATTGACATTAATTTTACTAGGTTATCACTATCATTAACATATATATATGCGGAACACCCAAAAATTCTTAAATTACAATAATTAATAGGGTTACCTGACTAAATTTCTTCTGAAACTTGTAAATTACGTGATGTGTGAGGTGAATGATTGACAAATAACATGCACGAGAGGCAGTGGAGGTAGCTCTAGCTTGTAAATCACACCGATGCCATAACCCAACATTAGAGAGCATATAATGTGCTCTTTCAAGTAGAGTTCTTTTAATACATTTTGCAACACCATTTTGTTGGGACTTTAATTTCCTACAAGTATATGTCTACCAATTTCATTATTAGCATAGAACTCATTAAAATCATTTTCACAAAACTATAGCTTTTTATCTATTGTCAACTTTTTAACCTTTCTCCCTATTTGATTCTCAACTAAAATTTTTCACTTTTGGAAATATAAGAAAGTTTCATTTTTACGCCTGAGAAAATAAACCCAAATTTTGTGAGAACAGTCATCATATAATGATGTTCTTTAATAGACTGATATTTTGAAGGTCTACATAGATCAAAACATACAATGTCAAGAACACCTTTAGTGATATGAGTTGCAAAAGAGAAACTAATTCTTTTTTGTTTTATAAAACACAATATTCATAAAACTCCAATTTACCAATACTTTGACTACACAATGTATCTTCTTACTTAAAATATTCATACATTTCTCACTCATATGGCCTAATGTCATATGTCATAATTAGGTAATATGAGAATAATCAAGCATAGATGTTGAAATGGTACTAAGCTTGTAACTGTAATAGCCCAAGAGTTTAAATTAAAAAATAAAATTTATGATTTAGTATTTGATTTTTTTTTATTAACTTTTGGAACAAATATGTGAGAAGTAATCTTGTCCTAATGGAAGTCATGCTACTAATTCACTTACAGGTCTTAAGTTTGAACCTTAGTGTGGCAATGGGGTTTTATTTTATTTCTTCAACCTTCTAAATTACCATTTTGCCATCGTAATCATATTTTTATTGTCCCTTTCTTGTTTCACATTCACAATTCAAATTAGAGGAGGGAGAGAAAGAAAATATAGAAAACCACTGCCTCTGCTCTCCTTTGATTCTAGCATCTCCAGCAGCGTTCTCCATCCTTCCTCCTCTACAAGTTAGCTCACCATCGATAGATGTGTGAGTTCCATCCGTGTTGCTATATGGGTGCTTCAAGATCTTCTTCATCCTTCATTCTTTTTTTTGCCTCCTTCATTATCAATGGTATACTACTAGTAGGTGTGTAAGGAGCTGTGTTACCAGAGCTAGAAGGTTTTGCTCGTGAGTCCTCCTACCTTGTGCTTCCTTATTCATGTACCGGCCTCTCTTCCTTAGTTTTGTTTCTTGCTACTGGAGCTCATCTCTTTCATCTCTGTGCTTGCTATTGTGAGAAGTATCAGGCATTCTGCCCTTCCATTCTATCCAATCAAGGGTGGTGATCACGCGGAGAGCTAGGCTTTGATGGAGGTCTAATTGTGAATCTCCTTCCTTATTCACGGCACTAACTTCTTTTCCCTTCCCTATGTTGACTTCTTCTTTGTCCTCCCCTTCTTTGTCATACTAATTTAGGTTTAAAGCTTCAAACTCTTCTTAATAATTCCATGTGTGGGTATTAATGGTTGAAGTTGTGAAATCTATCCTCCATTTTTCTACTAGCCATCAGTAGTGTGATGTTGGAAATTAGATTTTCTATGAATATTTAAATTTGATTTTTGTTAAAGAACTAACATATAGAAAGTTGGATTATTTCACATGGATATTAGAAACTTTGGCGAAATGAAATTTGTAGAAATGGAAACTTGGCTATTGTTAAATGATTTATGCCTACAAGATGTTCGATATAATGCCCATTGGAAGACTTTTTGCTTAATTATGTATCTATAATATTATTGATTTCTTAAGAAACATGATTGGGTTTGGACATTGTTATTTGTAAATCTAATTGGGATTTTTGCAAAGGAGTTTATTTAAGAAGTTATTTAGATTTTATCTTAGCTCTGGATTATTGAGAGTTATAAGGTTGAAAATTTATAAAGTATGTTATCATTTTAGAAGTCATACTTGGCTACTAGGAAATGATTGGGCAAGAGAATTAAAGGTTACATGTTTTATTGAATGGTTTGGAATGTTGCACATTAGATATTTGGTAAAAAGCCTAAGAGGAGACCTTTATGTGTAAATTTTATTGCTAAAACTTCAACTTATTTATTTTAATTCTGGTTGAGTGGATTCTTCTAAAAAGGGACTTTCTGGTTTAAAAGTAAAGTTCATTAAGATCTTATTATATTTTATAGAGTGACAATAAGAAGGGTAGCTTGATTATGTAGTTATAAGAAGTAATTTTTGAGCTTTTGAAGGTATTACAGGAAAGTGAATAACATCCCAATCAATTTATATATTAGCAAATTTTCTTTTATCAAAATATTATTTTCAACAATTTACAATTATTTATATATATTTCTCTTGCATTAGCTTTTTTTTTGTTAATTAAATGTTTTATTTAAAAGATTGAAGAAAATTCTTTTACCAATTCTAGTACTACTTTATTCAATAAAGACAAGGATTAATAAGCAAAATAAACCTTGAACTCTTGTTTGAATAGTGCCCTGGACCCTGAAATTTTAAAATATGAAAAATACAACCTAAACTTTAAAATTTATAGTAAATTAAACCCTATCATTATTTTTTTTAATGTTACTACCATTCACCATAGGCCGTAGTTAATTAGCGTCAAAG